GACTACGGAGAAAGAGAGGCAGGGAGGAAGTTACCTATTAATAGGTACAGGTTAACTTATGTTAGTTAATCTTCAACTGTAATCAGTTACATTTGCTGTATTTCCCCAAGTTACTTAATGCCGAGTTACGATTTGTAAACTGTTGCCCTTCTAATTGACTTACTCTAAAAGCGGGTAAAAATAAAAGTTTGAAAAGCGAAAGAAAATGTCGATTATCCTTGGAGCCCACGCGATGGAACTGAGTGATTACAGTCGAGAGTACTTACCCAGCCATGAGCACCAAAGAGACTCGAAATTTCCAGCTGACATCTCTAAAATTCTGTTAATCTACTGTAAGTATTTATTTTTTAATAATTGTAATAAAAATCAGGCAAATAAGTCTTCCATCAACAATACAACTAGATGCCCGGTCAGGTGTCAAAAATGACCGAAGAAATAATGCTGCATTTCATAGTGAGGACTTATTTTGCTTGAGTTTGTTTGCGACGGCGCCAATGTTCAGACGTAATACCATGCCACAGTGAATATTAAAACTGCGAAAATAATTATCTGAATAAAAATATGTATTTTGAGTATGTATTTACAAAAAAACCCTTTAAAACAAAAGTTGCGTTCCCTGAAAGTGACGAATTACTTAAATCGTTGCTTGAATATTCATAGATTTTAATAGAGATAAAGGTTGGTATATACCATCAACTTCAGATCCAGTAATTAATGAGTCGAATAAAATCTCAACTCAGATCACATACTGCAAAGTCTAAAGTAACAGTTAGTTTTTTTCAAGGCATTTTTCTATAAGAATATTCTCCAGTATAGTATTGTGAATGCAAAATTAATCAAATTTAATACTTCATAATGTACCCAAAACAATGTTTAAATAAACCCCGTAAGTGGAAACTCTGGGGACGTGACGTATTTGGTGAGGTAAACAAAAGGGATTTTCAGTGAAAAAATAAATGAATTATAGTATTCAGTACGTTTAATCAAACTCAAATAAATACCACAGAAGACTGACCCTTGTTACTTGCTTAAAATCAAGTAAATTCTTAAAATGATTTTGCACTTTGAACGTTTCCCGTGCTTTTCAGAGATAATTTTACTATCAGTTTACCCACAAATGATTAATAGTTTATATGCGCTCTGATTTGTATTTAGTTTGATGTGAAACACAGATTAGAAATATTCGAAAATATACAAATAACAGAAATAATAATTATTTTGCAAAATAATCTTTCAACTTTATGGACTTTTTAACCACACATAATTTATTTTTTTATCTAATTGCTATCCGGTCCCTTATTATTAACGTATATTATTATACGCATATTTTGCTTTAAGATTTTACTAAGAAAAATAAATTGACAACACGACTCAATACTTACCCATGTCTCAATATACTCTGCAGCATTACATTCCTTGGTTGTCGCAGTGTATTGTACCGTATTTGAGTATAGTTTTAGTATGCTAAGCATTATCTTGTTGTTTTATTTTTTTGCCAACCGTATATAGATATTTTTTGCCTAAGGTCTTGAAACAAATGAAGATAGAAATGTTTCTTCTTTTTCTGATGCCGTCATGACTACAAAGAGGCAAGGTTGTGCATTTAGGTATACAATCTTTTTACGTTAATAATAAATGAACCAATATATGAAACAATGAGTATTTTTTTAAAGAAGTTCAAGGTGTCTATTGTTCAAAGAGTTAAGCTACGCGTGCACTTGTACTACGTGCGCGTGGTGACTTTTTGTCACTGTGATATTCTGTCTCTTCTCTGCATGCTTGATTGTCTTTATCGTGGCGCGCGTACTTGGATATGTGAAATTGAGGAAGTATTAAAAAAAAATAAGTTCCCGAAATCTAACTATGTAGATGTCACCACTGTACGTTCTTGATTACTCCATGGCAACCCTTCCGGTTTTCTTTCATGTATTAGTTACTACTTTTCAAAATTCAATAAACAACACATATTCTATTAGTACTTTTTCGTATTTGTATTGATATCTAAGTTAGTTAACGGAAATGACTTTCTTTGGCCCATTCGTTTCCTGCAAAAATCAACTTCTGCTAGAGTCGACATCTAGTGGAGGTGCTTTTTTAGTGCTTTCGTTTATTTTTTTAAATACTTCCTCATTTGATGATTTCCAAAATAATGCCAAGAACACAGTGACAGAATGATTAAGTCACAATGCCAAAAATCACTAGTGCGCGCGTAGCCTTATTTCCGTAGTTTCGACACATGACAGATTACATTTATGCTTCATAGGATTTTTGGTGTTTCCAGATCAGAATTTATGTTACTCGTACATTCAGGTTTGTTTATAATAGACATAGGAATATAAACTTTATCAGTTGAATGAGTTTCAATTTGCACTCAGTCACGCACTAAATCCACTACCGTATTTTGATTGATTTAACAGCAACATTTTAATAAAAAATTAATATAAATCAAAACTGAGCGGATTTTACACTATACTACCAATACACACAATATAGTATGTATAGTCTTTGACAGCAAACATCAAAGTTTGTGACCGAATTTCACAAATAAAACACAATCGAAAATAAAATTATTTTTACATAAATTACATAAACATTGAAGTTCGATAGTTTTCTGTTTAGATAGAAGAACAACATAGTAGTAAAAGGTCGAACCCATGACCTTTGTCCTATCAGCTCAGTGATTAGAGCAGTCGTCCAGATTGCGAAAGGTCATGGGTTCGAGTCCCACCTCAGAGTGCCAGGGACAAAGTTAATCAAATATAATATAAATAATAGTATTAAAAAGTTTGACGGAAAAAAGACCTGCGGCAATGTGCCTTTGCCTTTATAAAATAAAACAAAAACCTTATGTGGTTGAATATTTAATTATAAACGTTATGAAGTGACTTATCATTATATTTATGTGAAAACTATTGAAACTGCTGAACCTTTAAAGTTCCCTCAATACCTGTCGGTAGATTTGGGCCTTTACTATTCAATAGAACTGCCTTGCCATACGTTATCTTTGTGTTATACTTGCTATTATGTATTGAACGCTTCTCTTGTTTTGCATACTATGAGAATGCTACATAAGTTGATAGTACCTGTAGGTAATATTCGCTCGATGTTAACATATCCGGGACAGATTTTGTCTTTCATTATCTTGTAGGGATTTTTTTCGGTTATTGGATTTAATTTTGAAAGGGAATATATCCAGGATAGATTAAGATTTTCATTATTTTGAAGAGAAACATTCTTTTGCGGTTATTCAATATAGTTTCTAAGCGTAAAATTTGGTTATTATAGCCCTCAAACGACTATGTTTAGGTTAATAATAACCTCTTATAATAAATGTGAATAATACTTAAAATTGCTACATCTATTATAACAAAATCTATTATATTCTATTCTTAAACAGTTATTTATTATATATGTGGTTGCAATATTTAATAATAAAAAAAAATAAAAAGAATTGGTGGGTACTTTAACATTCCTTCATTACAGAGATATACTATTCTATGTATTTTCCAAGGTCCACTCTATCAGTGTTCCAAATTTCGTAAAATCTGGTTCAGTAGTTTAGGCGTGGAAACGTAACAGACACACAGACAGAGTATTACTTTTATTTTACATTTAAAATATTATATATTTGTTAAACTTATTATTCAAAATCCTATTTTAAGTTAATGTATCGTTTTAAATTCTATTACGGAAAGTTCTAATCTACCGGCCCTAATATAAAATTATCAAAAGAACGATTTCATTTTTTTTTTGCGTTTAATAGGTTATGATATTATGAGACAGATTTTAAAAATTCATTTACCTACAAGAAGCTACATTATTTACGCAGTTGACATAGGTTGTAATTTAAGCGAGCAAACTCGTGGGGAAAATAGCTGTTTAAATAAATTAGACATTTTTTTATAAGAGTTTTAAGTTTTGTTTTGATGTTTGTCGGCTCATATGAGATTTTGAGGATGGGGTTAATCTATTGATGAAACTGTGTGTCGTGTGTATATCTCTATGTTTGTCTATGGATCTCTTGCAAATTAAGAAATAGTAAATAATACGTTTAACACTTAACGTATAAGCTTTGTTTATACCGATTTAAAGTATACCTATTTTACCGTTTTTGATTTTGTACGTGCATGTGGTGTTTACCTTTAATTAATTGTACAATTAGCGTTATTTATGGAAATATTGTGAATTGTCATTGTAACAATTGTCGGTGAACCAAAAATAATAAATATTAAATTAATCGTACACCTTATGTACGATTAGTATAAAATTGTTAAGCATTCTGAAGATAAATCAAGAAAAATTGAAAATTGTTTAGTATTTAGTCAAGGGTCGAGTCAAGTATTTGCTAATATTACCTATATTACTCTAACGGATATCGGGGCGGAGCGGCTTGATATCCTGCGAGGTTTTCATTTTGTTAGTTGTGCGACAAGCGACTGGCGAACGCGATTGATTTGTTTTTATACACTACGAGTGTTTTTGCATAGAAATATTTCGTTTGTTTTACACAACTATTAAAATATATTCACAAAATAAAGGTAATATAATTTACAAATTCTACTCCAGTTGAGCCGCAAACAAACATCATATGAGGACGATATTATGTATAGCTAAAATCGTTAATATTTCTAAATAAATACAAAACCTATTTTAAAAGATATGTTAGATGTTGCTTAGGCAATTATGTAATGTACAATATATTACAATAAATAAACACATACTTTAAAAGTAAAGAAATAACCTTGCATTTATTTATTTTAACATTGTATTTGTAGTCTATCAGAGAATAGCAGATGAAGTGGAATAAAATTACCATAAGATCTCCTCCGCTAAACGCCTCTAAATTGGGTCGAATATCGCCCAAACGGTTCACAATACGAGCAAGGTGAGGCAACAAGTTGAAAGGGCATCCCTGTTCGATATAAGCAGAGCACATCCCTGAGATCGGTACATCCACTCCGGCGCTAGACCAACACCAGCGTATCGCATCATCTCTCAATATGTCTTCATTGGTAAGAGTTCAATTTCTTAAAGTTATGGTTCTCCAAACCCGGCATAAATATACTTACTGTTTTAGAAAAGAATAAATTTAATTTATAAATATTAAATGTTGACAATACATATATTTAAAGTAAAAAAATAGATTATTAGATTTAAAATTATTGTAAATATCTTGTGTCTAAAAACTTTAAGCTTTTTTAAACATTTTTTATTTTGTAATATGTATGTATCACGGTTATCTGGAAATATTGCAGTGTTATAGTTAAAAAAAAAGTACGGAGACATTGATTATTCAAAGTTTTGTGACAAATTCTCTTTTTTAATAAATATTTAATTTGCCACAAAAAATCCTTGGAATCAAAATACCCGAGGTACCTGGCCCTTGATGGGAAATATGGAGTGTCAAACCCACTGGACTGAATTATGTTAATGTTTCATACATAGGCAAATATTGAAAAAAGAAAAAAAATGTTATTGTATGTTCTACATACATGAGTTCGTTCAACTGAACTTAATTTCTTATTTAATTTCATGAAGTAATAAAATGTTCTTGAGTTCCTTACCATGAGTTAATATTCATTACATTTTCCAATTGCTTTATATATAAACATTCAAACTTGTACTTTATATTTTCACAATTTGATCCCTTGAATATCTTTATTATTAATGAATTTTAGATATTATTCTTGTGACGAGTATAAAGGATAACTTTTATTACAAAGACAGTTGAATATCAAAGGATTAGTAAAATTAAAAAGCATAGAAATACCGAAAGACAATTTAGTTTTCAAGGAAAGAAAAATTAGAAAAGGAGCCAAAATATAAAAGAAAATGTTTTATAAATATTTAAATTTATTTTATTCGGCAAATTTTAAACGGTAATACAGTACATCACAATGTACTCAACACAGCATAAGGGTTCAATGAAATAAAACTTTTAGTGAATATCTCCTTGTCCAAGTGCTTCGATCGCCGGTTTCAAAGATCTTTGTGGTCCCGGGTTCGATTTCCACTGGGGTAAATGTAGCAAATTGACTTTTTATATTCTCTCGGGTTTGGGTGTTATGGTATCTTTGTTGTATCAGATACTCCACAATACGGGGGCTTTGGAACATGTCATCTTGGAATCTGATTATTTTATGTATTGACGTCTAATTGCCTGTTGCCTGGATTGCTACGTAGCAACAAGGTCGCCCTTTGTAATCTTTCTCTTTTTTCTATCTTCTCTGTATTATGTCCTGTCTAGCGTGCAATAAAGAATATTATTATTATTATTTATTTGGTTTATTTATTGAATCTCTATGCTGTAACGGAGCTGCTCATACGTCGAATTTAGCGCTGAATTTACAAATTAGCACGGCAGAGCTCACAAAAAACTGCATATTTGAATATAGTAATGAATAACAAAAAAGTTGAAGTTGTGAAATTTGTGTAAACATTATCTTTTTGCGCTTGATTGTCTTTATTTTCCTCGTAAAGGATTCGGCGTGAAATTTAGATAGATAGTTTTTCTTTAAAGGATTGTCAGTCTGTCAGATTTCTTAGCATATAACTAATATTTTAAAGAGGTAAAGATTCTCACTTTGTTATTTATAGGGGAATAATCTTCGGAAATTATGTTCCGATAATGAAAATTCTTTTTCAATGCACTTGCTCATAAAGCGCTTTTTTTTAATCCATTGTAAACACCGAAAGTGAGTCTTTAAACACGTGTTAAATATAAATGTACTGAAATTCTTTACTGCACACGTGCTTAAAAGTATTTTTTAAATTTTTTTTTGGCCGAGCACCAAAGAAATTTAAGAAATTTAAAAAATTTGATGAAAATATGTCAAACTTTAGAGGCAAAAGTATTTCAAGGAGCCTAGAACGAATGTTTTCAAATAAAAATGTATGACACGAAAACATGTTCAAATATCACGTTTAATTTTAACAAATAATTTTTACCTTTAATGCATACTTAGTTTTATTAACCTATATATTTGTTTTATTTCCTCTCAAAAAGCATTGAAAAATGTTGTAAGAAACTTGAGCGTGAAAGGTTTTTCGAATTCATGCCAATGAATTCGATTGACCTTTAGGCCCTTATTCGTAAAACCTTACTTTCCGCACTCGTATCTTAAATAACTATTACCTACATGAAGCTCCACACGTAGTGCAGTGCTTAGTGCTATAAAATAACTAGTGCATTAATACAATAATTGCCAATTACAGATTATTTTGATCTCCGCTGCTCTGGTGTCGTTTGCGTCTTGCGGTCGTCTCGACCATTTGACTGGTTTCGGTGGCGGCGGTTACAGCGGCGCCGCCGGCGCATACGGCGGCCCGCCTGCTCACTTTGAAAACGTCAATAACGGAGACGGCACTTACCGATACAGGTATATATGTTTGATTTTCTTATTTTTTTGTAATCGAAAATCTAAAAACTGTTTCACCAATATAAAGTTACGTTATCACCGAATAAGATTAGCTATACTGTATTTTTAATACAAGAGCTTTATTACATTTGATCAATTTTAAATTCACGATGCTATTCTGATAAAGATATTCAATGAAAAATTCTTAAAAAATCCACAAGCCTAGGTCTAGTCGTATTTTGGGGTACTTGAGACTGGTGAATTTCATTTTTCATTTAAGATATTTTCATTAAAAGGCTTGCTGGGTTAGTGAGTACAATTATTTTTCTATCCTGACTGTTCGCTTTATACAGTTTGAAATTTTTGTTATATGAAAGTTTTGATCTACCCTTACATAAGGTAAAGAACGTAAAACATGTTGTTTGGAAGAAATAAGTATGGTAGCTTTGCGTATCTATTGAATTATTCTATTGAAAAATTTGCATTAAACTATTTGATGTGAATGAGTTGAAACATTTTACAATACCGTGTTTTAACAAAAGCCAATTATACTGGCAAAACGTATATATTAGTTCTCAGACAGTATTGTTTATGATAACTATTCGAACAAATATAATAATAATGGCAGCCGCGCCTTCATGTCATAATATTAACGACGGCTACGAGCCCACTTGTTACTTTGAACTTTCCTCCCACTTGATAAAATACCTGTGATATATAAGTTTAAAACCAATTATTGAGGTAATTTAAAGTAAAATATCATCATTGTATTCTATTAACGTGAGACATTAAAATGTCGACTATTTGAAATTTATTATCAAAGCTATTTTTACAAATTATTAATTCGTTCTTATTAGTTATCCTTTTTTTTTAATAAGTGCAACTTTTTAAGGGTTTTTCAGTACAAGGCTAAGTATTGTACTAATACATAAAACTTGGGGCTATTGAAAGAACTTTTTATCGTCTTCAAAGATAGGAAATTATTTATTTTTATTTAGAATATGTTACTTCAGTTTTTCTTAAATTTAAATTTTCCGTAATTTATTTGAAACCTTGACGCCTACACAAAATTGCTCTACACGAAAGACCTTTAGCTCTTGTCTAAATTTGATTCACGCAAGCAAATCGTGTAGCAATTTGCTAGCGTTTTATTAGACCTTCGGTACAGGCGTGTCTGCGAACCTTTGGTGGTATTTTACATTAATAAAGCTAGATACTAGGTCATAACTTTTGATTGCGGTCTGAATTCGTTGTCTGCTATTAAGCTCACGAGAGTGATCATGTTGCATTCTCATACAGCACAGTAATTAATTTTGACAAACTTTGAATTTAAAGGATAAAGTATAGTGTGTTTCTTTCGCGTTTTTGCAAATTATGATTTTAGCGTTACGAATAAAAAGAAATATGTATTAAAACCTTAATGGAGTTTTATATTTCCGCGTACACTTTCTTGGATAGAATGAGGGGACTACCCGCTGGAATGATAACGACTAATGAAAACGCGTGCGGGTTAAGTAATGGTTAAATATTGTATACGTTACATAAATTCTACACATCCTGCTTACAAGTTAAGAGGGCGCGAGATATCTTTCAACTAGCTTAATATTAAGAAATAAGGTCGAAGTTGTCATTCAAAATGTGAAAATTATATAATATTTCTAAGCGTTCTGTCACAGCAAAAACACTTAATTATAAATTTTATGCCATAAAAAACAAGTCGCTAAGTTAATCCTTAAATTATGTTGTTGTAATTATACCTTTTTAATAAGAACTTTAGGAGGAAAAACATTAACTGAATGTATGAGCTTATTAAAAAAATAATAAGCTCATACATTCAGTTATTATATTAGACTTATTAAAAACTTATTATATTATTAAAAACATTATATAGATATTATAAAAAACATTATTAGTCACTTCAATCTAGTAACTAGTTAACTTTATTAGCTTGAACTAAAGCTTACATTTTTATTTTAGCTATGACACTCCAACTGGTATATCAGCCCACGAAAGCGGGTCTCCTCGTGCTGCTGGCCCCGAGGGTCCCGCGGTGACAGCTGAAGGCGGGTTCTCTTTCCGCGCTCCTGATGGCCAACAGATCTCTCTTACTTACACCGCAGACGAGAACGGCTTCCATCCCACTGGCTCCCATATCCCCACTCCACCTCCAATCTCTGAAGCCATTCTCCGATCTTTGGAGTACAATAGACAGCATCCTTCGTCGTAAGTAGCGCTTGGTATTTTAGTTATTATATTAGCACCATACTTTACCACGATAACAAATTTACAGCAAAAAGATCTATAGCCTGAAACTTTGATTATTAATTAAAGCAAAAGTTTAAGACATATATGTTAAACATATCCTAAGCGGTTGGAAGAAAATTTTGAGCGTTATAAGTATATTCTCTGACAAAAGTGAAAATTGTTACATTGATGTCATATTATAATGACATCAAAGTAACAATTTTCTCGCCATCTTTCATTCATTTCATTTTCATTTTACATGTATAAATTAATTTATTCACTTGATATTGACAGAATTGTGAGATATGCGCAGATAAGCCATTAATTAAAGAAGAAGAATAAGTCATAGAAAACAAACGTCAAAACTTTTTTCAAGTTTTAATTTTGAATTACGTCTATTTCAGAGACAACGGCGCATACAATACTGGAAGAAACTATCACTATTGAAGACATTAAGTGAAAATTATACAAAGCATACCTCAAAGCCATGGACTGTGATATCGATGCGAACGTTATTATTGTTAATTTATTTTATGTACTAATATTTATAGCTTAATTAATGTGCTGCTTTGATTTCATGATTATTTAATAAAACTCTTGATGAGACGGAATGTGTTTACTTTAATATTTTATATACCACCTCCTCTTTAAGTCGGTCCCATAGTGCTGATAAATCGTGGTTTCGACGGAAGCATTGCAGCAGATTTTTCCATTTACGGAGGTTTTCTGCTTGTGCCTGGGATATCGGTATTTGTAATTCTTGGGATACGTGAACAGACCATCGTCTGGGAGCAGTCCCAGAGGATGTAGTCCTCTTGGTCATTTGCCATCCACTTTGCCGTTTATTATCATATTTTCCAAGTCTTCAAGTCTATATGACCTAAGTATCGTAGTATTCTGTGAAGGCTAGGCTAGAATATTGTAGATGGCGTAGCTGTTAATATTTTAAATAATTGTTTTAAATCCTTTACATATTCCGCAGTGACCAAATAATGGAGATTAAATAAATATTTATTGATCAAAACTTCCTCATAGGGAGACATTGTGAGTTAGTTGAGTTATTTATAAAATATAATTACTGTCAAAATCCTATCAAATTTCTTTGCTTGACTTTTAATCTTTATTCTATGACGTCAGAGTTGAAAATCAATTCCAAAAATGTGACATATTGTTGTTACTTGAGGTGCGGTTGTATTTACAAAACTAGTTTAAGAATTAGCTTAAAAGTTTATAGGTACAATGTGCGCTCTACGACTCATTTTAGGAGATAACCCCAGACTGTATTCTATCTCCAAATTTTCCCAAAGAGATAGACAATTAAAATATTCATTGGTGACATTAAATTCTTACTATTTTAGATACAGTATAAAAGTTGAATAGATTTAGATGCAATTTGGTTTGAGACATGATAACGTTTATCCCCGAAACCTTTTCAAAAAGGAATGAAAATTAATGTAGTACTTTGTATTAAAAATCATTGTTTTGTTTAAATTCATATACGATTTATTAAACTCAAACTCCTGCAGATTATTTAATTATTTTCGGATATTCTTATTACCTTCAGACATTTTCAAGTTAAAACAGTTATTATAATAATTTAAAAATAATGAAAAATAAAAAATTATAATACAAATTTTACGCAGATGAAGTCGCGGGAAAAGCCAATGATAAATATACTAAGTGAAATTACATATGCAAACATAACGCTTAGCCAGACACATAAGAACAATAGTGTACAAGTAATAATACAATACGTTTGGTAATCTTGAATAAAACGCCGGGAATCGACAGCTCAATCCACTGGAGCCCCCATTGTGTTCTCACAATAGCATGATTACTTTACTAAATGTCGGCCTTCATATTTTATAGTTGCAATGTTTAAATACTTGTATGATATTTAAACCGGTCAGTATTAAATAAAAACTTTTAAAAAATATAACCGACTTCAAAATTTTAAAAAGTGATAAATAATATTTTCACTTCTTAAAGTTTTAAAGGCTGCAGCCGAGGTGGTCTCATTTAAATTTTATCGGTAGTAGTACTTAAATTTTATTATTCAAGAAAATGCTATTGAAGTCTACCATTTAATCAATAACCTACAAAAAACCTCCGCCCGACTTCAATAGCATTTTCTTGAATAAGCCGTTTTTGACTTCACTTTTTTCAGTTAGAAGTTAGTTTTTTTTTTCTAATATCTTTCTAATATAAAGGCGAAAGTTTGGATGTTTGTTGTTACTTCACGCAAAAACTACTCAACGGATGTTTATAAAATTTGGTTTACGGATAATTCTAAGCCTGAATTAGCTACTATTTATCCCACTTAACATCCCTAGAGAGACCACGCAGGCGAAGATGCTGTATTTAATCTAACATCTATCCAACTTATTGATTTCTTATATTTTCACGCGCACTATCCATAAAAGAAACAACACAGAACCTGTAAAGGGTCCGTCTAAAACTAAATACAAACGCGATCAAACCATTCAGAAGTTGTTCCCTTTATCTAACTTTTTTAAATCATTATATTCATTTTGTTAGATTGTTGTAAGATTGCAAAATGATTTGTTTTTCTTATTTTATTTAATAATACAATACTTATTTGTTTTATTATAACAATTATTTATTAATTGACTTCCTTTCATCCCCACTTTTATCGCCAATAAAAATCTCTCGTTATAAAACCTCTCAATGTTTGTATTTTCTTAATATTAGGTCCTTACATATAAAAATTGTCCTTTTGTCATACTGGCCACTTAAATCACAAATTTCTCCTCCTTGATTAGGAATTCCAAATTCAAATATGTGTTTCGTTAGGCGACATTCATTTATTTTTTCTTCTGTTTGTCCTATTTACACCACCCAGTATAAAAAATGGAAAACTTGACATATCGTGTTATTTACGAGTACGAGTTCCACCGTGGTATCAGTGCTGCAGAAACAGCTCGAAGGGTTAATGATGTGTATTGCGGTTGTGTCGCAAATGAACTCAGTGCGTTTTTAGTTCCAACGTTTTCGTTTTGGAAATTTCGACTCGCAGAAAGCCTCGTGGACGGCCGTAGACCAAAGTTAATAATGAATAATTGAAGGCTATTGTGGAAGCATATCCATCGCTAACCACGTCCGAGTTAGCTGCAGGTTGCGGTTTTAGTGATAAAACTGTTTTAATCCACTTGAAGCCAATTGGAAAGATTAAAAAGCTTGAACTAAGAAGAAGAAGAAGAAGAAACATTTATTGACCTCACAAAGACACAAACAAGATAATACATTATTAGGAACACATAAAACACAATAAAGAAAGGTGGGTACCTCACGAATTAAGTGAAGCAAACCGGCAAAAGCGCTTCAACTGCTGCGTTATATTACTTAATCGGCTAAGCTAAACTTTTTGTTCCTCCCATACCAAACACCAATTTCATATGTAAGGTACTAATATTTGTTAAACGAAAATATGTAAGTCACCAGTTTGATTTTCCGTTTATACTGGGTTAAGACTCATGTCTTAACAACTACCAGCGTATAAAACTAGTTTCAAGACAGCGCAAGTCTTAAACGCACGTTGATCTATTGCCTATGCAATATAAAATGCGTTTTAGTTTAAACTGACAGCTACAAATAGCGTAGACGCTAAGTTGTATGCATCTAATTCAAACTTTGTGGTCGAATTTTGAAAGTTAGGTGATACATATTTCGTTGGGTAGGTATACATTTATTGCAAGTTAACACCCGTCTGCCTCATTGAAAATCAGCGTCGGGTTTCTCATGGGCCTGAGAAAATGTTGAATTGGCTACCTTTTTTGTTATAGCCGTAAGACTTCAAAGCTGTTTCTCATTATTTTTATACTTATTTCTTATATTTCCAGGTACATTATTCAATTTATCAGCAGACTCACTACAATTTTTCCGAAATTGAATCGAAACGTCGTGAAAATAGTTAACATAATAACATGAGAAATATACCGTTCAATATTGTTTTATTTTTTACTATTTTTATTATTTAACTTGTTGTATTAGAGCTTAATAAATATTTCACTTTTTTACACGACTGCCCAAAAAAGTAACCCAAAGTAGTAGCACAAAGTTTAGGGTTAATGTATATGTAATGTGAATTTTTACAGCACTTTGTTCGACACTGTATTTGTAACATACCTAAAAGCAAAGCTGTAGGTACTATATGAATCTTCCACACGTCATGTAAATACGTTGGCGTATGAAGTTGCTCATACTGTAACCGCAGGCATAAACATTTAATTAGTATTTAATCATTAAGATTAATTTTCACAGCCCCAATTTTTTTACCTTAAATGTTTATAAAAGTTGAATTAAAAATTTACAAATAGTAATATAGGAGAAGCTATTATAAAATTGGCAAGTCTACGGAAAATTTGCCATATTTTTCATTGAAGTTTCATAGAAATGTTATCGTTTTAAATAATATAGATTTCATTCGTGTATATATTTATTTAAGTTTACACTTTAAACATCTTAATAAGAAGAAAGGGATAAAATTAACATAAATAAATTAGCATAAATAATTTACATAATATCTCAGTCCATGATAATTGCCGATAAATATAATTTTCGTTTTCCTATGGCACCTCTTTAGATTCAGTAGTAACCGTTGTTATGTCCTCCTCCATTGTAATGACCATTGTCACTGAAAAAAAAATACGGGCATAAGAACCGAATTCTCAATTCAGCTATGATAAGTCTCTAATTCGAGTCAAGTATGGCACTATGACAACATAGAGGTTCAGAAGATAAAAACTTTATTATCTTTTGAGGTTTTATTTAATTGAACCTGCAGCACTGTACTAGATGATGAATTCGAAGCGATTTGTATAGAAGAATAGCATTGTTGCTCCTGTTCGTTTGTGCATCTATGCAAAATTAGAAATATCTTGACAAAATTATATGTATATATCAGTTTAAGAATTTTATGTTGTTTTATCAGTATTACTTTGGTTTTAAGTAGGAACTTACATATTGAAGTAGTAGAAAGAAACAACTGGATATACGTAGAAGCAGTATATTCAGTTGTTTAGTTAGTAAGACTTTAAAGCAATAATACAATACTTACAAAGAAGGATTTTGTCTGTTGTACTGAAGGGAACGGAGGATAGCTTCTGGGATAGGTGGGGGCGTAGGGATGTGTGAGCCAGTTGGGTGGAAGCCGTTCTCGTCTGCTGTGTAGGTGAGGGAGACTTGCTGGCCGTCGGGCGCGCGGTACGAGAATCCTCCCTCCGCTGTCACCGCGGGACCCTCGGGGCCTGGGGCACGGGGTGAGCCACTCTCGTGCGCAGATATGCCGTTACCAGTTTCATAACTGTATTTAAAAATGAATTTAAGCAAGCTTATTTGATAAATTTTGAATGTTATACCGATAAATATTTGGTAGATTAAAAAAAATTGAATAAGCTTTCACATTTCTGCATATATGTGCATACTGAATGAAACTTTAATATGAGGTCTAACCTTATCCGAGGCTACGTATAGTCTCATATCCATTTTTACCTCCGTCGAAGTTTAATGACGAGTTTAAGCTTTAACGAATGTTCTAAGTTTGAAAATTTGTATCGGTAATATCGGCTTTGAATTAATGACAAACTTAAAGACGTCACTAAACCTTAATGGATGTTTGTGCAACAGGGTGTCGGTCCATGGAAATTATGATTTGTATTTGTATGATATGATACTATTATAATAAAAGCATAAATTCAAAGAAAATATTACATAACAAAGTGAGCTAAATTGTTTAATTTTCTCTTTGTAAATTTTCCCAACAATAAAGGCTTTACCTATAAATATAATACAGTGGTCATGTAACAGAATGTTGATAAGATACAATTATCAGTAATGGATGCCACAAATATCCTATTCATGTTGTTTCAAAGCCAATGCGCCTACAATTAGTTTGTACTTAATTATAACTCGGTTATCTGTAAATTGATGTAATTTGGATACCAAATGATTGGATAATTATCGATAACATCTATAAATAGCCTATTATTACCCGATATTAGATGTAATATAAATACGATAGATTAGCACGATTAAACAGTTCAGATGTTTAATTGAAATTCGACAATTATAATAGTAATAAGATTAAATATAACAATAAACAGACAGAGATTTTTTTTATGAAATTTGAATTTGAAAGTTATTATTTACATTAATAGTAAGTAAGTAGCAATCCTTTTCTGTTTTTATCTAATTGAGGTTTTAAATGTGAATTTTTAAAAATTTGATGTCACAATATTTGTTCTTGTTGTAATAGTGGCACTATTATATTTGTCGTACAAATAATTATTATAATATATTACAAAAAATTTGCCGCACTATTATAGTGTTTTTTTTAAATCGTCTACATCGTAAGTACAACTTTCATCACTACTTTACTTCTATTGTCGTTACTATTTTATATTCCGAAAAAGTATGAAAGTTCAGTACAATACCTGAAAGTGTGATTGTATATGCATATTGTTGGGATGATTTTAACAATTCGCATAAATAATTTTACAATTAAAATTTTCTTTTTTTTATCATTAATATTTTATATAAATAATCTTACCTGTATCTGTAGTTGCCATCACCATTGTTTACATTTTCGTAGCGTAGAATAGGTATGTGTGCGCCATAGTTATTATAGCTTGGATAATGTTCGGCTGCTACTGTTACCAAAAGAACACACGCGGCGAAAATCTAAAATTAAAATTTACATGTGTTAATGTAGTTTGAATCAGCATTAGGAATCAGAAATTTTTTATAGTACTCGATCAGTTGTTACGCAAAGTTTTAGATATAGCTAATTAAAACATAATTTTTTTATAGTACTTCATACAGTTGTTACGCAAAGTTAACGATATAGCTAATTAAAACATGATTGTATTTACTGTAAACAATAAGTTTACTGTGTACTTCAATTGGAGCGCTTAATTGATTACGATATATAAAATAAACTTCTGTAAATCGTATAATCGAAAGTCGCCTCCCGCTTTCTATACCTACCCTGATATATTTTAAACCACTCAACGGTTTTAATGACGGTTATATCAAAAGTGATTCAAGAGAAAACTATATGTCAGGTGTCTTAAAAGAGTATTATTTGTGCTTTGATTATATATTAAAAAAAAAAACTAATATTCGTGTTTCTGTTCACAGAATTATATGTACAGTTTTAAATTTATTTGGTTTTTTGTTATTACAACACTTATTCGTAAATCCTTCCGTCAAATTGAATAAATACGAGATAAATAGATTAAACAAACTTGTTACCTTTGTAGAAGTCATTTTAGTAGAAACTTTAAATTTAGACAACTAGACTTGAAAGATGAACAGTTGTGTACCGAATGAATCTCATCGTGACTGTCATCTTTTTATATCGATATACTTATTACCCTTCTACCGATCACCTTCGACGCCGTCACGGCAATTGAAAAAACGAGTGCACTGTTGGATTCCTGAAGTGCCTCCCGCTGTTTTGTTGAATTGTTAGTGATAACCCAGATATAATACCACTCGGGTTCAAGGTTAGTGTTCGTGATATATGATATTGTGATATGATGTTAGATAATTTTGAACATACAGTAGCGGTGAACCTAAAACAATCGAGTCAAATAAGTAGTATTTAATGTACGACAAGAGAATTACATGGACATACATAAATATTTTACACAATGTGACATACAATAGGTTAGCGATTTCTTCCAGGATATCTAATATTGGATAAAAGTAAAACATATAATAAAAAATAATTAGATGAAAAACATAACATTAAATAGCAGATTGTGTATCAACTAGGCAAAGAAACAAATAACGATTAAAGCATATTAAAAAAGAACAATAAGTTTTAAGAATTTAGTTGCATAAATTTTTTAAGATGTAACTCGACTTCTTTGTTATTTGGAATGTTAAAGCTTTAAGAATTTCCAGTGATTAATTATTATGGCTTCGTTTGTAGATCAGCAGATATACTCTCAAAATCGATACATCGTGAGTTCCATACCGTGCTACACTAAATTTCATAGTTTCATATAATGTAGTGTGCGAATAACGGGGAAGTTTTCTTAATATCTATGTCATTTAACTTTGCGGTGCCTTTGTTGTTTTAGATATTCCATAATACAAGGACTTGGGTATATTGGAATTTGAGTCACGACATGTATGCGATTAACGCCTAGTTGCACTAATGCCCATTAACTTTAAATTATGTTTTTAAGCTCTTATGAATGTTCTAGATTTGAAAAAATAATGGCAATTTTAAGGACGTTTGTATAACTAGTAGCAAATACAGTTTATTGAATTGTTAGTTTTAGAATTGGTAGTATCTTTGATGACTCAAATTCCAATATAAGTCTTCGTGTTATGGGGACTCTGAAACAAGGAAGTTTTTGATTTTGATATGTGCTTGTAACACCCTAGACTAAATGAAAGATACTTATTTGATGCGGAATAAGAGGTTGTTGACTGATTATATTTTTTTTCGCAGGTCAGCGTGTCGATAATGTGTTTGTATTAATAGGATTGTTCAGTTCAATGTACAGTCACCAGTATATTACGTTATATAATCCTATCCAATTTCTCTATTTGATTTTAAACCATAATGCATTAAAGGCAGAGCCTAAAATCAATTGAGGAAATTTGGTTAATTGTGATAGCTGGACGTGCTGAAAGATGAAAATCTGGAGAATTATTTTGATATTTATTAAATTTATTGTCCTACTACAATAGGTGGAGTTAATGCATTCGCTACCAGTCAACATTTAGGAAATTGTAATATCCATTATCATTTGAGAGCTATAGGTACTGAAAAAGATATAAGAATACATATTTGTTGATATACCCTTTGATTGATGTGACATATGAAAAGGTGATTGATACTATCGAAAACATTGACGTCTCAAATGAGCTAGCAATCCATTAGAACATCTTGCGATTTGAGAAAGATTGCGAGATTGTTAGCTTTTAACTTTTTTTTATGAACATAGCCTATCGATACGTATTGCTTAAGTTTTAAAATCATTACAGCTAAGCAACATAATTAAGAACGAGTTAAAATATTGAAAGTACTCTTCATCAACCGTTGAAGTCTCTGGAGAACATTATTGACAAGTTTTAACGACTGCAGATTGAGTCGGGACCACATATTTAATATGCTTTCATAAAGACAGAATGCAATTCAAGATGATTTTTGGTAATGCATCTGATGATTGGCCTTTACAAACGTTGCTTAATCTCTTGCAAATTTTACGCGTGATTTTTTTGATATCGAGCCTGTAGCATATTATTTATTTGATGTAGAGTGTAATTCGCTCAAGGTCATATCATCGACTGATCCCTTACTTAACTTAAGTGGATAAAGTAGAACTTCAAAATGTCAAGAATGGTTTGTAGGTACTTTTCACGCAACTTGATTTGTACTTTTCACGATATCATGTGTTTCAATGTTTGTAGATTCTGCGAAGTGCATAAAAAATATTGCTATTCCCAGCCGATTCATTGTTTTGCAAACATCTGCTTAATATGTATTGAACAAGGAATCTTCAGGGTTTGGGTGTGAAGCAGTTTTTGATGCATCTCACGTCCTCCACTGAAAACTGAGGGTGCATTAGTGGGACTTTAGTGGCTATGCCATCCACGTTTTGACTAGCCTTCGGGCGGGTCCGTGTGGATGGAGAGTCCGAACACACCCTTTGTCGCAACCCCCTGAACAAGGGGAGAAAAGAAAACCTTAAAGTTGATTTCATAAGATAGCTACAACATGATCTGCAAGTTATGGACAGCTATCATTAAATTATACAAACAGTTTCTTCAGATTTTGGGATGTAATAACTTAACTAAGACATAGACAATACTCTGGTTTAGTCATCTAATCTGGTTAGTTTATTCTGGGGCTAACCCCAGATCCTAAGATTATACTCACAATATTGCTAATAGTTTTCAAGCGTAATCAGGACCCCAAGATTACTTGAAATTCTGTTTTGGCAACTAAGTATGTATATGAATCAAACAAATATTATTTGAAAATGTTTGAAATGCGCAGGTGTTGCTATGAGACGGCATTTTTTGACACAATATTAATCATAATAGGAACATTTCTATATAGCTACCCCCGATTTTACATTGAGTATGATAAATATGATCAATGAGCTCTTGTATATACCACAGGCTTGATTTACAACTTTACTTTGAAATAGGGATGACGACTAAATTTTTTTGTTTGTCCGTCAGGTAGATTGTTGAAAAATATTAAACAATTATTTTTTTAATTTTGCCAAATAATTAAATTTTGGCGATACATTAAATTAAAATTTCGCATGACATCACGCTTTTGTATATATTCTACAAAACTGTGACGTAGGCATTAAAGTTGAGGAGTGGAGACTCGCTAATAGTAATTCTTGTTAAATTGAAGTAAAAAAAATGTGTGTCTAATATTTTTCTATTATCTGACTGACTAAACAGATTTTTTTTTTAACCAGTCGTCATCCCAATTAGGCAGTATTGTTGTTAAAACCTAATATTTGACCTATTTCTTCCAGTCGACATCTATATTTTTATCAATAGTGACCATCTAGGTACTACAGTTAACGCTTACTGAATTATAGAACTCAAACACTCGTATTCTAAATAATTTTGTTGATTGATAAAAATTGCGAGATAATTCGTAGTGGTTTAGAAGTTAAAGGTAAGTTTTGTAATCAGTAAAGGGTATAAGAAATATAGAAACAATTTCGTTATTCGAATCAATGATTTTATTGTTAAACAACATTATTTAAATAAATTATCTTATAACTAATACTTCAGTCCATTAACATGCCAAGTTCATTTTTTTAATCTTCTATAATTAAGTTTTCGATTTAATAGTTGTTGTAATGTCTTCCACCATGGTAGTAGCCGTTGTCTCTGTAAATGAAAATAATTAATGAAGTATGCTTATAAATAATAGAATCAAATATATATATAAAACGAGAATTTATCAATGAAAATATTTTTACAAAATTTGTTTTACATCGAACCTCTTTATTATAAATATAACAACACTAAAGCAAAGTAAAAAAAAACTGATAGTCTGAATTAGGAGGTCTTAAAATCCGGTTGTACTATGAAATATACTAATTATAAATAATTGGAAGATTATAAACTTTTTACTCACGAAGAAGGATTTTGTCTGTTGTATTGGAGGGAACGAAGGATAGCTTCTGGGATAGGTGGGCGTGTAGGGATGTGTGAGCCAGTTGGGTGGAAGCCGTTCTCGTCTGCTGTGTAGGTGAGGGAGACTTGTTGGCCGTCGGGTGCGCGGTACGAGAACCCTCCCTCCGCTGTCACCGCGGGACCCTCGGGGCCTGGGGCACGGGGTGAGCCACTCTCGTGCGCAGATATGCCGTTACCAGTTTCATAACTGTTTCAAAAGAATATTTATGCAATGTCTCTTTGTCTTATAAAATATACATAGAAATTCAAAAGAAATAAAAAGAGACAGAACTATTGCTTTTGTTGAATAAAATTTCATACCTGTATCGGTAAGTACCATCCCCGTTGTTCACATTTTCATATCGCAGAATGGGGATATGAGCACCACCATAGCTGTTGTAACCAGGATTCCCTGAATATCCATAATTGTAGCCGTGATTGAATTCTGCTGTAGCAACAGCCAGAACCACGCACGCAAATATAATCTGAAATTAAAGTACACATTCAAGAGTTGAGAAATATTTGGTCAAATTATGAACTTTATTTAAATTCTCACTTAATAGTTCGTATTATAGATCTTTAAAATAATGATAATAAGATATTACAATGCATATATTTTTAAACTAAGAAATACGCATCTTACCGTTATTGAAGTCATTGCAATAGAAATATTGTTGCTCTATATACTTTTTTATTTTGTTAAGAATTTATTCCACAGCTGATCGCTGAATGCACAAGTCGATCACTGAATGATGTCTGTTGCATCTGCCGTCTTTTTATATCAATATATTTTGTTGCCATTGCCATGGCATTTCATCTTGTTTCGATATCAGTTATGGCGCGTGTTATTGTACATTTCGCATACCTGTGCTGCACCACCCGCTGTTTTGATGATTGTCAGTGTAAAAAAAACTATTGTTGACCAAAAATATGTGTATACTACGAAATACCTACCTTTTTTAATCTCGTTGAAGTATGGGTTTGTACGATTCTATTCAGAAAATATACGTTGTGTACATTAAGTTGTCAAGCTTTTAAAGTAACTGGAGTTTATTATTAAATATGTCTGAGATGGGATATGGATAATATGTCAGCATAGGTACGAATTTAAATGTTTAGTTAGACATCAATTATAAATTTATAAGAAATTCCTAACAACTGTTAAGTTTACTTATTTAAGTTCTTGGTGAAATTTAAGTACATACATAATGTATGGTATATTATAAAAATATAAAGTTTAACTTTATACCTTATAACTTACAAATTTTACAGCGTAAGTATTTATAGTTTTTTACAGGATTGTTATCATAACCCCTTAGATTGCCTAAGCACCTTTTACTTTAAAAATTATGGACTTCCATACAAATCTAAGACTTTCAATAGTTTCTAATTGGCAAATGTACCAGGCCAAGTTTGTTTGTAAATATAGAAGCGTAAATGCTAAGTATCTGTCTATGCGATTATATACTTTTTCTACGGGGACTGAGCAGAGCTAACAATGTTACAAAACACAGACATTTGCAATTTTGTTAAGTTATGAGTAGAGGATAAAAATGAGCAAATAATTCGGCGACGACGACTCATGACCAGAGGTCGGAATTAGGTAGAGTTATTTATGTACTTGCATCGAAATGTTGATATTAATGTGGACCTTCCCAGGATTTCTAATGGACAATTTCTAATTCTTTGGACATCCAATGTCATTGATGTAAGTTTGGCAACGTCGTGCGTGCAGTAGTTTAAATTGTGTAAAAGTAAATAACTTTTTATTTAAAAAATCACGGGATTTTTTCTGCTCTTTAAAATTAATCTCGGGATTTGAGGCATATCCACTTTATTCTTTCGCTGTATGAAATCAGTGTAAGTACATGAATAACTACCTAATTCCGACCACTGCTCATGACACACTTGCATCAAATAGTAACAGTTTCGACCAATTCCCTTCGTCCGCTGATAAGAATAGGTTTAGTCCTAATAAGATAAGAATAAGGGCTTTTTATATAAAAAAAGAGTAATATTAAATTGATTGTAATCATAACTGATGAAATTAAAAAGTAAGACATCAAAATGGTTATTTAAAAGGAGAAAATAGACCACATTTTTGAGCGTTGATACCGCTGGGTAAAAGTAAAAAATATATATACCTAAATAAATACTTCTTGATAAATATAAAGATACATTTTTTTTTAACGCCGGCGCCGTCTCGAGTACCTCTATCTAAATAATATTTTTTGTTTTTTTTATGACATAAAATATATTTTCTATTTACCATTGCTAAATGTATAATATGCTGAATATTTAATACCGTTGAAATACTTGAGATAGATTTTAATTATTACCTAAATACTTTATCAATTATTATTCGATAAAAGAAAGATTATTAAAAGAAAATCATCACATTCAAAAATATTTATATTCATTCTTCATACAATATTCTTATTTACACAGCAAGGAATATCTATATTAATAATTTACATGTAAGTTATAGTGCTCGATTATAAACTCGTGGTATCACAGAAAAAAATTAAATTCATGCAATTAATAATAATTTTATAAATACAATAAAAAGAAGGAACTAAGAAAATATATGTATATCATTAATCATACTTACTTACTTTCTAGACAAATAGTGAAAGAATAACACAGTATATCGATTTTAGCAAGGATTTTTCTCGAAAAGTTTTGATTATCTCAAAGGTTATCTACTATTGTGAAAACTTAAAGCTTATTGTTGATAATTATTGAAATTAAAAGACGTGCGTAATTATCACTGTTAGACAAATCAGTCACTCCCACATTTGAACAACTTAAGCACTAATGTTATTGTTTTTGCAAGTCAGCGAAATCACTGTCGGAATGATATATTCCAATCAAAACAGCATATTTCTAGATATATTATAAGTACATAATCGGTCATTCTTATATAAAAACAAATCACAACTTAAGCTGTATCGTGCAAGCGTTATATTAAGGTTGTTGAGATCAATAGTGATAGCCGTTGGATCCGCTTGAGGCGCTCGCTCCGCTCGAAGCGCCGAATCCGCCGCTTCCGGATCCGCCGAAACCTCCAGCGCTACCGGATCCTCCTGCACCAGGGTTGTAAGCTCCTTCACTGTAATCACACAAGACTCCATTAATATTAGACCGTCGACAATATTCTCAGGAATTTGCGTTACTTACTTATGCAAATGCAATTACATGCATTCTGAAATCAAAATGAAAGCTTGCATCTAAAGTGCCTGTCCCAAATGCGAAACTATGGAGGTTTGTAAATAATTAATTATATATATTTTTTAATTCAAAAAGTTTGCAAATGGACTTTACATAAATTAAAAACGTAAAAGCAATACATATTAATGAGTACCTAAAGCCGATTTGAATATCAAGTAGACAACCTTTTTATGATTTTATATCTAGAAGGAAGAGAATGCCTTTCTTTAGCAATTTAGTAACTTAAGTTCTCGTTATATTTGCTTAAAAGAGTTGGACGTGATATGACGTGTATATATTATATACCTGAATATGGCTGCTAATTCATATGTTTTTTAATTCGTTATTTTCGTCTATGAAACTAGTAATATATTTTATTGTCGTTTTAGGAATAAAAATGTAGATTTTTTTTTTATACTCACGAAGAGGGATTGCGCTTATTGAATTCTATAGAGCGGAGGATCTCTTCAGGGATTGGCGGCGGTGTGGGTAGATGAGGGCCAACCGGATGAAAGCCGTTCTCATCAGCGGTGTAAGTAATAGAGATCTGCTGGCCATCAGGAGCGCGGTACGAAAATCCACCTTCCGCCGTCACAGCATTACCTTCGGGTCCCGGCGCGCGTGGAGCACCGCTCTCGTGAGCCGATATACCATTACCGGTTTCGTAGCTGCGGCGAAAATAAACAAATAATAATAGACAATATCATATACATTGTTTAGATTCCAAGATGAGTAGGTAGGTAGCCCTCGTATTGTGGAGTATCTGAGAAAACGAAAGTCCCTATTCCAGAAAACTATTTCATTTGGCATCCGTGCAATATTAAGTACACTATATTGAAAATTATCAATAATAAATTAAACTTCTATATCAAAGATACGAGATCCATTCTCAGTCTCTAGATCACGACGTAAATTATTTTCTTCATTCGACGGGAATGGAGCTTAGGACCTTAAAGCTTCTAAATGTTAGTTTGAATATATTTTCATATACATAGACAAAGTTCTCTGTCAAACTTTCATTATTTAAATAAAGCAACGAGTTTGCCGTTTTATTCATTAAGTTTATATTCGGGTTTTAACCCAAACGTTTGTAAACACAAATATAATATGAGACCATGTGTTTCCCTAAAATTCTGCTGTACATACTATAATTAGACAAGAATGCGATTTTTCTCAAAGACTCTCATACATGGGGAGAATGAGAATTCATGTCGTCTTACTTGAAGTTATAGGTGCCGTCGCCATTGTTCACGTTCTCGAACTTCGTGATGGGTATTTGAGAGCCACTGCCGCCACCAAACCCAGCACCGCTACCAGCACCGCTGCCAGCACCGAATCCAGCGCCACTGCCTGCGCCGAATCCAGCACCATTTCCGCTTCCAGCGCCGAAACCGGCTCCGCTACCCGCACCGTAGCCTCCTCCACTGCCACCGCCGCCACCACCTGGCCTAGGAGGTAGGTACTGAGGCTCAAGACGACCACAAAGGCCGATGGCCAGAACCATCGATGTAACTGTTACCTACAAAAATACAATTCTAAGCATTAATATTGCGTCATGATGTTCCTCAAATTACACATCGATTTAAGAGTTGTGTTACATTAAAACTTAAATTAATATTCGACGATTCATTAATGTATATTAATTAAGTAAACTTTAATCTTGGTGTGAATTAACAAAGCTAAAAAAACAATTTCAAAATTAAAACAACATTCGAATCAGCAGACAGTACAAACTTACATCATATAAGTGACGTTTATTTTTGCCGAACACAGAAGTGTAAAAAAAATACCAGGCTGTCAATTTCTACCATACAAATTAGATCACCATTTACTTTTTTTTAATTAATATAAACCAACTTTTGAGGTAGAAAAAGCAAAGTAACAATCACATCTAAACATATTTAGACTTTAGACAGAACTGTATACCCTAGTAGATGGAAAATAATCTCCTTTTTAACTTACCAGTGAGAACATATTGTTTTTAATTTGTCCTAGGCGTTCGTCGATCTGCGATCGTCTGAATACAGTTCACGAAGATGTACCCCGTTTTATATTGGTCCGGATTGCCCTTTCTCAGTTGCTTCACCTTGTGCGTGCTCACAATATCGGCAAGTGAATCCGAGTCCACGCCTAGAGCTTTAGTTAGTCTGGAATTCCCTTTGCGGATGTACCTTACCGATATCAGTGAATTGGATCAGAGAATCCCTTATTTCATGATAGTTCACTCTATTATGTACTTTGGTAGTTATATCTTTGATAATCTAATAGATTACGATGTTAATGTTTTTATTGCATATAAATATGTAATTAGTTCGTTGTTTGAAAGAAATAATGAATTCAAATCTAGAACAAAAGTAATTTTATATGCAATAAATTTTACTTTCTTATAAAAACTTTTACGTTTAAGTACACGAAAAAGTTCTGTTACTTTTCTAATAGTCTGCATGTCGTCCACACGTTGGTAATTTAGTGAGTTACTATATTGCTTGCCAAAGAGAATAAATTTATTTTTGTGGCTTTTCTATTAATTTGTTCTAATGAATTAGAATAATTTATTTAAATAACAAGAAAATATTTGAAAAATACATGGTGACAGAGAACAGACGAGAGTCGAACCCGTGGGCTTTCAATAAACTTGTGACTTTTCTTTAACCCTCCTAATATAGCACATAATCATGATTATCTATTAATGTCCCCACTACAAGTATATCACCCATCCTATGGCCAAAAAGTAGAGTATATAACTAAACAAAAATGCGCTTACATTCTTAAAAGCAGTGTATTGTAAATAATAATGATATATCTTAAAATGTTTGATTGCGACCGTTCAATCCTTTGAATCAAATAAATGCAAATCGTAATTGATCAATTACATGGAGATGACTATACAGAATAATGTATTCGTGGTTATCCTCGATATTATAACTCAATTACGAGAATATGAGAAGAATATCAGAATGAATGCTTCAATCAGCTTTTGTAGGGGACAATACGAATTTTGCTCTAATAATGTGATAGACGATGTAAATGCACGAGTGAATTTTGTTAGTTAACACACGTGATGGCTTAATGGCACTTTTAACCGTAAAGAGTCATCTATTAACATAAAATGTAGCCTGCATGGTATAAAAATAGAGAACAACCTATTCTCAAACACATTCATTGTACAGTACGACGGGACGAAGTTCGTCTGAACTTCCAATTGAACCAATCGTCTGATTGGTTATACACGGACTTCTGAATTATTGTTAGAAAACCCATTTTTGTCTTCCGAAATCTACGGGTCTCCGCTGACTTCAAAATACTCAGAACGGTATATTTTGCCCACTCCATTCTGACGTACTGTATTACCGCTTGGGGAAACGCTGGGAAGTGTTCATTTTTACGCTTGGAAAGAGCTCAAAGAGCTGCCCTGCAATTCTATAAAAATCCAGACACGATTTTGAATTCACTCATGTGTCCAAATTCAGGTTAATGAGTGTAGAAATGTTATTGATTCCATTTTTTGTATAAAAATACAAAACAAAATTGATTGAATATACGTGCTTCAGATATTCTATTCCTATATCATTTAGAAACTCACTTTGCTTATGCCACGAAACATTATCAGCAATTCAAGGTTGAGCGGATGCCCCTTTCTGAAGTAAATTTGGAAACCTGAATGAATTCGAATTCGGGTTTGGATTGTTACAGAATCGCAGGGCTGTTCTAAAAGTTATGAAGAAAACGGTTTGTTGCCACAAACCGTTTTCTTTTCCAACAATCGAGCTATGTTCATTGTAATTTACCAAGAGTTAGATACTCTTTCATATTGAACACTGTGATGCGTAAACATACCAGCCTAGTTTATAGTCCTAATCTAAATAAGCGCGTGCGTAGATCCGATAGAGTGTCTAGATTAGAGTCCTGTAACGTTAGCATGGCGAGTCGACAATATCAGTTCCTGAGCCCCAAACTGTACAGAAAAATAAATGAAATCCTTAAAATTTAGAGTCTCACCTAAGTGAAATGTTAATTCGTAGTTAATAAATGGCTTTATACCTTTACTTATGAAGAGATCGAGGAACTGCTAAATGGGTTTTATCTAAATTCGTTCTGTTTCCTCCGTATACCAATTTCTCACAAATGCTAGCTAACACAAACACACACAGGCACATACACACACACACACACACACACACACACACACACACAAACACACACACACACACACAAACACACACACACACACACACACACACACACACACAAACACACACACACACACACACACACATAGTTGACCGCGAATATTATCGTTAACTATACTTTGTTAAACTGTTTGTTCTACTACTCGCAAAAAATATATCAGTGATATTAAAAATATCCTTGATGTCAAAGTCATAATAATACCATTTTCTATTCCAAATTTTCTTTCAAATTGGCATTTCCTTTTGAATTCTTCATCTATTTTAGCCTTTTGGTTGTGACATATATAAATTATTTATTTATTCACATATTTGGGTAATATCACTTGCATACCATTACGCGTATACTCAAAATTAAACTAATCTAGCTATGGAGAAAGTAGGGCTTTCAGTTCTACTGTATAATCCATATCAGAAAACCTAGCAATGTAATATTGCATTAGTAATAACTTAGTATAACTACCACATGTTAACAGTTAAACCACGATCGACTAATACACGATAAAACCAGCTTGATACGGTTTCTCTTATAATACCTAAGCTTCCGCCAATCCTTGTACATAATTGCAAACATATTGTTTTATGGGTGTTTAACATTAATATATATTATATTAACGTTGAAAATAACGTTAATATAATTTCTATAATGTTCTTATGTAGAAATCTGATCAACTGAAGAAGTAATTAATAGATAGTTAAAACGGATAGTCAGGTGACCGGTCACCAAACTATCCGATAATAGATGATGTCTTTGCGTAACACTTTTTAAATGAAATATCGATTTTTCTCTAATTAGTGTTTGATTTTTCTTAGGTGACCGGCCATTCTTTCCATACGGATAGTGAAAATAAATAGAACTCAACTATCATTTTGTCAAGCAATCATTCATTACATTAATATTCATTAGTTAGCTAACGACTTAAGGCGATTTTGTAACAGCATTACTTGCGTCCGTTCAGCACTATATGATGTCTTTTAAATTAGGTACTATCTGTTTTTCGCCACTTTGCCAGCGTAAATTATAGCCTGTAAATTATTGCCAGCGTAAGACATACCTTCTGTAAGCGAAAGAATTTTCATGATAGTACCCGTATCCCTCCAAAAAAAAAATACTTATCTTCTGCATAATATTAGTATAGACTATATTTCTAATGAAGTTGGGATACAGTTAAAAGCGTTCATTGAAGTCGGGACATTGTCGTTGCACGTTAAATGCCAGTAAATGTTAAGTTCGCGTCCGTGACAGGCGGGTCTTCACTGATCCCTTTCTTAAGGTTTTTAGTAAATTGTATCTTATAAGAAATAGCATAAAATTTTACTTTCGGATACCTCTATTAGATACCTTTTTTTATCGTAAGAGAATGCTTTATCCACTGGTCGCGCCACTTGAAAGGCGCAGCGGGTGTGTGGGATTCTCCATCCGCACAGACCCACCCGAAGGTTAGTCAGAACGTGGATGGCATACCCAGTAAATGCACTCTGTGCAGCCTCACTTTTGGGGTATAGGTCTGGGAGCCAGCAAGGAGTGCTCCATACCCTACCTGAGGTAGATACCCGCGGTAATTGAGAAAAAATCCTAGAGAAATTATTTTAGTTTCTTAAGAGTGAGTAAAGAACAATGTTATTTATTTATTTATACATTTCATTGCATAACAATAGAAATATTGTACACACATTTGCCCGTCTGGTGATCACAATATTAAAAGTCAAATTTCTCCAATTTTTTTTAACTTTACAAGTGGAGAAATTTTACAGATTTGTATAACCTGGCGTTAACTACACAACGGACGGCCATATTGTAAAACATATTCCAGGCATTCTTATTTCTATCTTCTATTTAGATATAGTACTGAGCAATATTACTTTTTTATAAAAATGTAAAATTAATATCAATCACACTTCATATGACATTACAAAGAAGATAATATTTCTAGAAGGAAGTTTGCAAATTTTACCATCGAGATATTTAAAAAAACAGAAAATAATTTGAATTTAACGGTCTTAACTCGTAGAATATTCCATGAAAATTTTCAACATATTGGTTGACATTTTCAACAAACATCTTGGTTGACTTTATAGCCAAGTCAATAAAAATTAACAAAAATATAAGCTTTATTACAGTAGTTAATTATGCTTCAACAGTCTTTTAAAATATTATAAATGGAGCTTATTAAAAAAGATATAGTCAAATTGGTATTAAATATCAAAGCGCCAGCTATTTAATTTAAAAAAAACTTAATAAGGTTTTAACAAAACTCAATATCTTCCTTATTGGTGTTCTGCAAGCTGATCAAAGCAAAAGGAACAGACGGGATCCTGCCTTGTCGCCAAAAAATATTTTGCCGATACAAGTAACGATAAAAAAAATTGTATGACAACAATTTTGTCCACGAAGTTAGCCACACATGCAGCCACTGCGAGCGAAACTAGAGAACTTAAAGTGTTTTGGCATGCTCATAGTAAATATTTTGTTAATGTTTTTGGATCTTCCGTGCTTTAATCATACGTCAAATTTTATTGGATTATTGCTTAATCGTAAGTGAATATGATAAAGATAATAATATTATATCATCTATATTGTGAATTTTTCTACGTGGGTTTTGTGTTAGAAAAAAATAATTTTATTCTTGATCTTCGGGGCACGTTCGTACATTTCCAGAAAGGGCACATTCGTACGCGTATGTGTGTACCCCCGCTAACAATTTTTATTATTATATCAGAAAATTTAGAAAAAATGATTGGAATTTTAAGAAGAAAAAGCAGACACGTTCCCAATATTAATTAAATGAAGCTTTTTTTGCGTCTGTAAAAGGTGTTTTTAAATAGTAAAAAACAA